CCAGGCCGCCAAGCTACTACTGGTTCGGCCAAAGGTGATCATCAGGTGATCATTAGTTGGAGAGTGCATGCATTAATTTTTATTCAGATAATGCCAAGGATCCAATTCTGATAGTAAGCAGAAATCAGTCAGAGTTCCCTCTTTCAATAGTTCATACAATTTCCACTGTATAGTTTTGTAATAAAGGTCCAACAAAGCCTTTGATTCCCAAATGACTGTAACTGCTTCCAAATGTAAATGTTTTTTTAATTTTCAAAATATTGTTGCCTCTGGATTATAGAAAAAAAGAGGTTTTTTTTTGTAACCATAGAGTAAGAGGTAATTTTGTATTTGTTCTTATAAACAAATGCTGTAAATAAAATTGAAAGTTACTTCTTTCTATTACATTTCATTCATCCTTCTTGCACTTTGGCTTCATTCTTGTTTCCCTTCTACCTTTTATGCTTTCTTTTTCCTTATATTAGTTCTTGTTAGTTTTTATTCTCCTTTTTACAAAAAAATATATTAAAAAAGGAAAGAATGTTGTCTCTGGCAGAGAATGTTTATACAAAGATGGCAGAGAATGTTTATACAAAGATGGCAGAGAATGTTTATACAAAGATGGCAGAGAATGTTTATACAAAGATAGCAGAGTTATTTCTGTTATAATAGTATGCTATAACTTTATTTTTGGTTTATAGAGCAGTTGCATTTTTAATGTTACTCAGAAAGTAACTCTGAAGTTACTCATAAACCGAAGGGTTCTTCAGAAGAGTATCAATTGCCATAGCAGCTCAGATGTTCAACTGAGGCAGCAGATCACCATTAAACAAAGACTGGGAGCATGTTTTGTTTACGTCTCTGAGTTCTGTGAACTACAGTGATAAGGAAGTTTATAATGAATTTGTCTTAACAAAGTCCTTATCCATTAACTCAGCTGCCTCATTAATATCCTGTCACTGCATATTTCCGGTTATTTTAGCTGAGCACAATGCATCAGAGCTACAACTTGAGATATCTGCTCTCAGTGACTTGTTGAATTCCGTTTAACTGTTATAAATCCACCATTTAGTAATTCTGTTTTGTATTGATTGTTCCCTTCGTTATCTATTTAACTGCTTGGTCTCTCATTTCTTCTTAAATTTTCAATTAATTGTTTCCATTAGTCCTCTGGTATAAGTAATTACACCAATTAACCAATAATGCAATATTCCTATTGGCCAGCCAACTTTAGTGTATCAACTAATTTTCACTTCAGCATTAATTTTACTTCTACTACTTCTAAAATACAAGGAGTCCTTGACTTGCAACAGTTCACTTAGTGACTGTTCGAAGTTACAGTCCTGAAAAAAGTGACTTATTACCATTTTCACACTTATGACCATTGCAGCATCCCCATGGTCATGTGATTAAAATTCAGATGCTTGACAACTGATCACATTTATGATGGTTACAGTGTCTTGAGGCCATGTGATCACCTTTTGCAACCTTCTTACAAGCAAATAGGGAATGGGGAAATCAAATTCACTTAACAGTTGTATTACTAATTTAACAAATGTAGTGATTCATTTAACAAAGATGGCAAGTAAACTCATAAAATGGAGCAAAACTCACTTAACAAATTTCTCACTTAGCCACATAAATTTTGGGCTTAATTGTGGTCGTATTTCGAGGACTACCTAAATATATATAAATTCTCTCCATGTGCTCAGATAAACTTGTAAGTATTTGTATAGAATGAATGATTTTCAGTGACTCCATTTCCATCACTGCCCTGCATGCATCATATGCAGACTGATTCATGCGTTCCAACATTGTTTGATGGAGTCAGCTGCAATGAATATGGAATCTCTTGAGTACTCCTCTCCAACTCTGTGCCCTCCAAACATGTTAGACAACAACTTTCTGAAACTGGCTAGAAGTCTCTAGAACAGCAATGCAGGTTGAGACTTTTCTTTTCCAGCTAATTCAGACATGGCTACTATTCGAGGTCAACTCCAGATACAGTTTTTGTACCACTGACTTGCTTAATTATAAGTAAACATGTACAGAATTATACTGAACTTCCTGAAATCCATCATAGGGGTTATTCCCACTATAGCTTTTAGATAGTGTATTAGCATCTTTATTAATACTTATTATTAATTTCTTTTCTTTTTTTACTAGAGAAAGGGAGAATAATTTTCATGGTGATTGTACGATCTCAGTGAAGTTTTCCCCCCATCATTGACATTAATTTACAGGCACTAAAGATATTTATTTTCCTGCAAAGACTAATAATAGCATGCACATTGTGTGTCAAAACTGTAATTGTGGAGGCTTAAAACCTCCCCCACCACCCTGTGCAGAAACTTCTGCAAAGTTTCCCCGTATCATTTCCTCAAAATCCAAATCATACATAAAGCACTTTCTGGTAATACGTTTATTTGAAGTCAAAGCTGTATTTGGAATCAAAGCTGCATCCCTTGGCTGCTTTATGATTTGGATTCCTGCAATGTAAATACGAAGCTGAATTGGGTTTTTTAATTACAGAATATGTTAAGTAACTTTTAAAACTATCTAAGTTTCTACCTAAAAGGATTGCACAGTTAAAAACAGTGCATTGCCTTTAATTACACCTGCATTTATTTTGGTTGTTCTTTCGCTCAAGTCGGAAAAAAAATTGCTTTCAATGTGTTTTTTTTGAAAATCAGAAAACAGAAAATTTCAGTGAAATTCTCATGAGGCTTGGAAGTTTTTGCACTGATGACAGGTGTGCATGCAGCTCTTCCATTTTCCAGGGTTCTGCAGCAGTGGTGGGTTACGACTGGTACGTCCCAGTATGGGTGTACCGGTGCCTACTGGGGAGCACCAGGTATTGTTCCGGTACGGTGCTCTGGAGGGCCCACCTGCCCACCCGTTCCCCTTACCACTATTTGACCTGACTGGGGCATTTGCGCACATGCATGGAGTGTACGGTGCCTGCGCAATGCTCCGCAGAGCAGCTGGAGTGTCACGGGTGGTGGGTATGCATGCACGTGCTGCGCATGTGCACGTGGTGGGTGCCTGGCCCCATTGCAGCATATGGGTTGCAACGGGATCCGGAACCCACCACTGTTCTGCAGGTTGCAGCCCTTCTGGTTTCCCCTGCTTCAGTTACCCCCCCCCCCAATAATAGAGAAAGGAACTTTCTTATTTGGCATTTAAAAAAAAAAAAGAGGCATGGGCACCCAGCTGTGGAAGCAGAGCATTTTTAAGTACAAATTTGTAACAGTATTATTGCACTCTCTTCCTTTAATAATAATAAAAATAAAAAAGTTAGAATAACTTGCAAAACCAGAAAGAATTACGAAAACAATCAAAAGCACATCTGCTAATAATATAAAGTAAGAAAGAAAACTTTCTTTATATTGGGAGACATATCTTGACACAATTAAATTTAGCACAAACTGCACATCTATTTTTGGACTATGATACTTGAACGTCAGCTGTAAAAAAACTGGCAGGCTTAAGATAGAAATCGATATGATCTGGACAAAAGCTAAATGTAACTTAAAAACATGAAATTAACATTTAAATAAACTACTGTGTTTCTCCAAAAATAAGACAGAGTCTTATTTTCTTTTTACTCACAAAATATGGCTTGGACCTTATTATGATGGGAGGGTTTATTGTTTTGGGGTTGCTGGGCAGCTGCTCCCTTCTGAGTGGGCTCCCAAAGAGCACAGCCTCATGGGTGAATGGCCGTGTTGTGCTGTCGCAACATAGCAGCCATGAAACAACCACGCTCACAAGCAGCCAACCGGCAAACCCCCTTTTCAGCCAGGCACAGTTCCATTCACTGACCTAGGGGTATCGCCAAGCCACGTGAGCGCCTGTTCGCTGCCTCCTGGCTTCCGCGGCTTGGCTCCTTTGAAATGCCAGTGAATAGCGCTCTGCACGGCTGGAGAAGGGGGTTACGCGAGCGGCTGTTCTGTTCTCACTCACGCGCCTCCCAGCCTCACGATGCCCTGGCCCAGCTCTCCCCGCAGAAGCAGAGTACCTCCATTGCTGCCGCCGCCGCATGACTTTTTCTGCAGCTTCCAATCGAGTCTTCCAGCAATGGCCACGCTGGGCGTATGCTCTGCCGGCAGCTGGCCCACAACCAAAGAGTGTACGCCCAGAGCGGCCATTGCCAGACGACTTGGTTTGGAAGCCGCAGAAAAAACCATGCACGGCAGCGGAGGAGCTCTTCCTCTGCAGAGAGAGCTGGGCCAGGGCATCGTGAGGTTGGGAAGCGCGGGAGCGAGCGCTGAACAGCCGATCACGTAACCCCCTTCTCCAGCCATGAAGAGCGCCATTCACTGGCATTTCAAAGGCGCCAAGCCACAGGAGCCGGTGGCAGCTCATGCGGCTTGGTGATACCCCTAGGTCAGTGAATGATGCTGTGCCTGCCTGGAAAGGGCAGCACAACCATTCGCCCATGAGGCTGTGCCCGGGTCTTTGGGAGCCCGCTCACAAGAGAGCAACCGCCGGCAACTCCCCTCTTCAGCTGGGCACAGAGGCACTCATCAACCTAGCGGTATCCCGAAGGTGCCAAGCAACACGATCACCTTTGCCTCCCTCCCCAATTCCCATGGCTTGGCACCTTTGGGATACCGCTAGGTTGGTGAGTGGTGATCTGCCTGGCTGGAGTGGGGGGGTTTGTCCAGGGGGCTTATTTTCGGGGGTGGGTTAAATTTTTGCCCACCTGAAAAATGTGGCAAGGCTTTAGTTTCAGAACATGTTGTATTTTTGGGGAAACATGGTAATAGATATGATCTAGACAGAAGCTAAATTTAATTTAATAACATTCAATTAACATTTAATTAAACTAACCTAGGTAGTCTTTGAGTTATGATCCTAACTCAGACTGTCATTTTCATCACTAAGCAAAACATTATGGGGCTGTGTTGCTTTATGACGGCAGACCTAGTTATGGTTGTTAAGCATGGACTGCACAATTATTAGGCAAAGACTTCATGCTATTCTTCTCTGCGCTAACTGCCTCCATTCCATCTTCTTCCACCAGCCTACCTTGACCCATTTCTGCCTTTTTCACCACACAGTCCAACATGGCCAAACACAGAGGCTGCTATATTCTGTTGCCATCCTCCCCAGCTTCCCCAAGAAGCCTAGAAATCCTTTTAGCAGAAGGAACAGAAAACATCCAATTCATAGGGCTTGCAGTAACCAGCAGGCATAGGCTGTGGTAAGCGTTATTTCTTGGCTGCTCCCTTCCTCCACCAGCCAGCCATGGTGGTAAGAGCCCAGTGTTGGACTGGATGCAGAACTAGTACCAGTTTTTGCACCCAACAACCCTCCCTCACCTGGCCTTTATCCTCCTTGTGGCTCCGCAGGCAAGAAACCTGGAAGGTGGCCTGGTGAGGAGAGCTTGCTGTTTAGGAACAGACTACCCTTGTAGATCTAGCCCTTATGAAAACCACCCAACTTCTCCCACTTCTGTTGTTATTTAGCTGACCTACCTGAGAATTAACAAGACGTATTGTAGTTTTCTCACCAACATCTTCCTGAAACCCTTTGGTAGGGGCCCCATTAAACCGCAGGACTGCATCATGGCTGTCTGAAAGACACAGAAAATATGAACTGAGTACATCTCAGAGCAAAGTCTTTAAAGTTTCAGTAGCTCAGCTAGGAAATTCTGTGTTCTACAGAAAAAAAGCTAGGAACAAGTTTCAATGTCACCTCAATGTTCTTGTCATATATTTGAAAAATGTATACCATAGTTTTATAATTAATTTATGTTGATCTGCTTCTACATTAATGTTAAACCTTTGAAAAAAAATAAGAGAGGGGGAGGGAGGGAGGGAGGGAGAGAGAGAGATCATTTAAAACTCAAGAGCATTAATCTCTATACAATAAACTACTCCTTTAACTAAGATGTAGAGTTGGGCATAGATGGCTTTATTCGATGCCTGCAGCTGCCTCTCTTTCAATTAAGAAACACAAGGTGATTCTGATGGATTGCAATTAACTGGAGTGTATGAGGAATGACCAAATGAACCTTAATCTGGACAAGTTGATAGCAAGGAAAATTGGCTAGGGCTTCCAGTTGGGGTTTTTAGCCTTATCCAAGTTCGTGCACTCCAGATATTTTTATTCAAAACAACAGAATAATAGAGTTGGGAGGGACCTTGGAAGTCTTCTAGTCCAACCCTCTGCTCAAGCAGAAACCCTATACCAGAGGCCTTTTGGGCACCAGAGACTGGTTTTGTGCAGATAAGTTTTTCCGTGATCAGAAGGGCCATGGTTTCTCATGCTGCTTGCAACACGTGTATGGGGCTTTGCTTGTTTGCAAGGCCCATTTATTGGAATGCTGCAGACCAGTGCCAGTGCACAGACTGGGGGTGGGGTGGGGGGTTGGGAACCCTTGCCCTATACCATTTCAGACAAATGGCTGTCCAATCTCTTCAGCGGTCCAAAACCTTCGGTGTTGAGGCACCCACAATTTCCAGACACAAATCATTCCACTGATTCTAACAATTAGCTCAGGATAAACTACCTTTTCCTGCACTATTGTACAGAAAATTCACAGGAAAACGTTGTAAACATATTAAGTTGCTTTTGTTGTAACAGAAAAATACACAAATACAAACCTATTTCTGCTCCCAAATGCGAGTGCTTAATAGATCCTGCAGAGGATACAACTGCACATCGGCCCAGCTTGCCCAGTTCCATGCTGATATTTGTCTTAGGCAGATATGTCTCCCATTCAGCTGTATTAAAAGGGGCATCAGATGTATTTATCATCCTAAAGTCTAGTTGTTTCCGAAGTTGGCAAAACACTTTTTCTGGGCTGAGTTTAACAGTATTCTTTGGTCCAGTGTATTTCACATGAAATTTGTTAATGTTTAAGTAATTCTTTCTTTGTATTTGCAGTCTAGGGTGAAGTATTTGGGAAGAACTATACTGGTTCCAGACTTTGATTTTCTTGGGCTTAGGTTCAGCATTATTATATTTAGCCTGGGATTTTTTGTTAGACAAAGTAACTTTGCTTGTGCCATTGAGAATTTTATTCTGGCCCATTCCTGATTTCATTTTAATCCATTTCCACAGCTGCAGATGATCAGTTTGGCTTTCTATTTTTATGGAGATGTAAGTTCCTTTCCGAGTTTCCTTCCATAGAGAAACAGTCAGGACCAAAATGAAAAAGATAATGCCGAATATCCATTTTCTAAACAACTTGACATGACCCATAATGTACAATACATTAGGCTGGAAAGTTCAGTTTCAGATGTATAGACCTGAAAAACGAAATAATGTAAGTATATTAATGGGGGGAGGGGGACTGAGAGTTAACAATATATAGATACATTAGTGCTTTTTAGATGTTGATTCAAGTACCTCTCCAAAAGCTGATTGCATAGGATTGCCACTATCTTTAAATAGTTCCCATAACTCAGATCTTAAGAGACTGGACTATATCTATTTTCTATTAATATAGGGCTTTTTATGCTCATGTGTTACATTTCATAAAGTAAACAAACATCTCCCTCTCTTCTTTCTTTTACTGAGAGATAAATGAGATAAAAGTACAAATGGTAAGAGCAGAGTTAAATTCCTTTTTTTTTTTTTACTACCGGTTCTGTGGGCGGGGCTTGGTGAGGGTGGCAGGGGAAAGATACTGCAAAATCCCCATTCCCTCCCCACTCCTGGGGGAAGGATACTGCAAAATCTCCAATCCCATCCCACTTCAGGGGAAGGATATTGCAAAATCTGCATTCCCACCCCACTCCGGGGCCACCCAGAGGTAGTATTTGCCGGTTCTCCAAACTACTCAAAATTTCCTGCTGAATTTCACCCCTGGTTAAGAGTCAATACATGTAAGAGGAGATGACTGTTTTAGAATTGGATAGAGAAATGTCTCTGCTGGATACGTTTACTTGATGCAGCACCATTGAACTGGGTAGAGATGTGCATATAAAATAGCAATAGCAATAGCAGTTAGACTTATATACCGCTTCATAGGGCTTTCAGCCCTCTCTAAGCAGTTTACAGAGTCAGCATATTGCCCCCACAGTCTGGGTACTCATTCTCCCACCTCGGAAGGATGGAAGGCTGAGTCAACCTTGAGCCGGTGAGATTAGAACCGCTGAACTGCAGATAACAGTCAGCTGAAGTGGCCTGCAGTCCTGCACCCTAACCACTGCGCCACCTCGGCTCCTTGGCTTACCATTGGCTTACCTAAAGGGTCCTTTTCTGTGCACTGCAGGAGAGTTCAAGCAATGGGTTAAATTAGTCTGGTTGCCCTGGGAACCTTTTTCCTTGGCCACGCCTCCTGGTGCCTTGTGATGTCAGATTTTTGACAAGTTCTGGATCCAGTGAAGGTAGTTGGTTCATTGATGCAGTAGGAGTAAGTCTGATTAGACCTGATGGTTCCAAATCTCTGAGCAGAAAGACCCAAGGCGGGTTGGACTCTCCCGCAGTGCACAGAAAAGAACCCTTCAGGTAAGCCAATGGTCATTTTCCTGTGCACTGCTTGGAGAGTCCAAGCAATGGGACATACCCAAGTTACATGTCACTAGGGTGGGAAGTCTGGCCAGGGATTCGGCCATGGAAACAACCCCCTGGAGAACCTGTGTTGATCTTTGGGATGAAGGCAGGGTCCAGGCGTAGTACAACCCTATTTAGATGGACGATACAAAGGTCCTCTCAGACCAATAGGGCGTCCAGCTTAGATATGCGCCTCGCAGATGTTATTGCGACAAGAAAAACTGTCTTGAGAGTTAGATGTCAAAGAGAAGTAGTGCTCAGCGGCTCGAAAGGAGCTGAAGTGAGGGCCTGAAGGACCACCAATAGTTGCCAGGTCAGGTATTGGTGGACCACTGGAGGTGTATGTTGGAAGCGCCCTTAAGGAAACACCAAAGCCTTGGAATCCTGCTGAGGGGCTGGACCGAAGCCCCCGAACAAATGGTGGATAAAGCCACTACCTGGCAACGGAGAGTATTAGGAGCAAGCCACTTGTCGAGGCCCTCCTGAAGAAAGTCCAATACACGGGAAACAGGTGCTGTGACTGGATCAATTTGGAGGTTGTTGCACCACTTGGCGAAGGTGGAATCATAAATTCTGGTCGTTGAAGGTCGCCTGGATCCCTGGATGGTACGTATCACCTCTTCCAACAGGCCGTCCCTCCTCAGGAGGTCCCCCTCAAGTGCCAGACAGCCAACTGGAGCCACTGGGGGTCTGGATGGACTATGGCCCCCTGAGGGAGACCTGACCCTGAGGTATTCACCATGGGCTGGACACCGACAAGCTGACAAAATCGGCATACCAGGACCTCCGAGGCCAGTGAGGTGCGGCCAATTGTACCTCCGCCCTCTCTGTAATGATTTTGCGGATCACTTGTGGTAACAGGGGAAGTGGAAAGGCATATGAGCCAAGGTGGCACAGTGGTTAAATGCAGCACTGCAGGCTACTGCTAGATCAGCAGTTCAGCGGTTCAAATCCCACCGGCTCAGGGTTGACTCAGCCTTCCATCCTTCCGAGGTGGGTAAAATGAGGACCCAGATTGTTGGGGGCAATATGCTGACTCTCTGTAAACCGCTTAGAGAGGGCTGAAAGCCCTATGAAGCGGTATATAAGTCTACTGCTATTGCTATTGCTATTGCTATTGCTATATAGCAGTTTCTGGGGCCACCTGCAGTGGAGAGCATCCGTCCCCTCCACTCCCTGTGAGTGGAAGTGGGAGAAGAACCGTTGGAGTTGCGTGTTCTCGTGGGTGGCAAACAGGTTGACTGTTGGAGTGCCGACTCTGTCGGACAACTGACGAAACAGGACCTGGTGTAATTGCCACTCTGCATTGTCTATGGTGGTCCTGCTCAACCAGTCCGTCTGGGTATTGTCCACCCCGGAGATGGGATTGGAGCTGAGGGATTTGATGTTATGCTCCGCCCACCTGCCTAGGGCATCTCCCTCTGCCATGGGCTTTCTGGATCTCGTGCCCCCTGTTGATTTATGTGGGCCTTGGTGGCCACATTGTCCATCATCAAGAGTACATGTTGATGTAGAATGTCCTATTGAAAATGACGCAGGGTGAGTCTTGTTGCCTGCAGCTCTAGGAAGTTGATGTTGCAAGCCGCTTCGGTTGGAGACCACTTGCCCTGAGTCACCTAAGGGCCGATGTGCGTGTCCCAGGTGGCAAGGCTGGTGTCCATTGTGATGACTACTCTCCGGCTCATTGAAGAGATGACCTTTCCGAAGAGCGGCTGATTGCCACCATCTGAGGGACCTTCTCACGGCCGGAGGAAGATGGACCTTCATGGGGGAGTTGCTTTGGTTGGATCTCTAATGAGGCAGGAATAACCACTGCAACTCCCAGAAATGGAGAAGTGCCCATGGGACTATTGAGATGCACGAAATCATCTTTCCTAGCAATTGTGAGAGAAGCAACCCAGGGACCTGCCTCGACCCCTGAACCTTGCAAGCTAGGGAGACTAGGCTGTCTATCCTGTCCGGGGAGAGGGTCATCTTGCAGTTGGAAGTGTCTATCACCGCTCCCAGGTGGAGAAGCTTGATAGTCGGAGTAAGATGACTTTTTTCCAGGTTCAAGGAGAACCCATGGTTCTAGAGGGACCTCATGGTGATCTACTTGAATGGACAGGCAGTAACAGGCTCAGGAAAAAAGGGCACGAAAAAAACCCTTTCAAAATGGCCGCCACACCCGTGTTAGGGTGGAGAAGGAGAGATGGCGACTGCATGGTAGCAATGCGGTTGCCACGCTCTCCGTGGCTCAGCACAAGTGAAAAAAGTAAACAAAAGCTCCTGGTTCACCCCTGGCAGCCGCCGAGAGCACCGCCGTTCTTCACAAGGACAGAAAAACCTTTAAAAGGACCTCCGCTGCTGTCCACAAGCGACATGAACAGCGGAGCACCCCCCCCCCACGTCCGTTCCTACCTCAATTCGCAGTCTGATGAAAATAAGGAGAAGGTTTCAAAAACAAAAAAGGAGTGACAGGATAAAGAAAAAACAAAATGGCAAGGAAAAAGGTAAATAAAAAAATAAAAAAATAGGAGAGTCCAAGCCTTGGATTAAAGTAAAAGCTGGAGCTCACTGAATTAATCCCTAACTGGGCCAGACTGAGATAAAAATCTGGCGTCACGAGGCACCAGGAGGCGTGGCCAAGGAAAAACACTAGTAAAGGCAACCAGACCAATTTAACCCATTGCTTGGACTCTCCAAGCAATGCACAGGAAAATCAGGGGATTCCTTTTTATTAACTATTTCATTTCTACCAATGCCAGCTGTTCACAAACATACAGACTCACAAACATAGAAGGGAAAGGTTATCTATCTGGTTCCTTTCTGGTGCCTGCACAAAGCCCATGTTTTAAGTGTTATTAAACCTTCCTTTTTCTAGCATAGAATCATAGCATGTACAGGTTATATGGGACCTTAAATAACATCTAGTGCAACCAGTATAGGAACCCACTACTACAGCATCCATATCAGATGCTCATTCAGCCTCTGTTTACACAGCTCCGACCAAGAAAAATCTACCACCTTCTAAGGCAATTGAATAGCTCATACTGTTTTGTTTCTTGATGTTCAGCCAAATTCAATTTCCTTGAAAATGTCACTGTTTCTTGTCTTGTCCTCTAGACCAGCAATCTTGCCTGTCTTCTACATGTAAACTTTTCAGATACTTCATACTATTATGTCTTTTCACAATATTTTCTTCCCTAGGCCAAACACATTTAAAACTTGCAATCATTTCTTATAACTATTTTTTCTACGACTCTTTCACCTTAATTGTTTATCTGTATCCTAAACATATTTAAGCTACCTTTCATTAAAGGCAAGGATCCTCTACTCCCACAAAAGCCTTTGTAATATACACAGTCAAATCTCCCACTCCCACTGCTAATAAGGAGCAAAGAGCCAAAGAAATAGCTAAAGAACTTGTCAAAAAGCCACAGTTTTGAAGAATAACTCTCTTATCAAAGAGAGGAGAACTTACACATGTTAAAGATTCATTGGAAGCCAGCAAAGAATCCCCCCCCCAAATTAAATCATTTACTGCAAACATAACAGGTCACTTTCAGAATTTGTATTAATAGACTTAATGTTGGATGTTTGAATACCAGATGAGCAATCCTAACTTCCTTAGATCACCTTCTTCACTGCCAAAGTAGGCAGATTGATCTGTGTGCTATCAAATGGTGCCCAGATGTCCCAAATTGGAAGCCTTTGTTGCTATTCAAGATAAGAGCAATCAGGCTTCCATTCAAAGTCTTTTGTGATGAAA